TGTAGCATTCAGCCCTGCCCTCACCTGTCCGTCACAGCTGGGCAGTGGAACATCAACCAATGAGGGGACGGAAGGTGGTGCAAAAGGGGGAGGAGCTGGAATATATAAAGGGGTGTATGATGAGGAAGAATTGAGATTGGAGAGAGATTCTGAGAGAGTGAGTGATGAGTGTGTTTATGGGCCTGTGAGCCAAACAGTCAGTGAGGGAAGAGTCTGTGTATGTCAGTGAGTGAGAGACCTTGATTAACATCCTGTGATTCACTTACTTTATTTTGTTAAACCGATAAACAAGTTTTTGTTTTGAAACAACACTTATCTTTTTTTTTAAATACTGGATAAAATTGGTGGCAGCAACTGAGGAAAAAGAGTGAGCACTCCTGGAGGCCTGAGTTGGTAGAGGCTTCAGCGTGCTCGCTACAGGGGGAGGAAGGACCACTTTACTCGCCTTTCTCCTCATGGTTATACTAATGTTGGCTCCCCGCATTAAGTGGCTCAAGGAAACCCAAGCCGTCCAAACCACCGAAAAGCCCCTCCTGCCTCATCCAGGCACCAACCACCTTTCCCAACTTACCTTTGTTCTTATTCCGGAGAGCGGATTTCAAGATGACTGCCTTGAGGGCGGCCTTCGTGTCATCCGAAATGGCTCCCTCTCGTTTTGGTGGAGCCGCAGGGGCCTCGGCCTCCGCCTTCACCTCAGGCTGCAGAACAGGCTCGGTTACGAGGGGAGAGGTAAGGTCTATGGTCTCTGTCAGCGGATACGGCCCAGGAGAGGCCATCGCAAAGTCGCCGTCACCCACCCGAGGGGAGCCAGCGCTGGGCATGTCCACATCCTGGCAGCGGAGAAGTGCGGTCTGCCTATCCTCATCCGGGTAACCCCCGACGACAGCAGGCCGCAAGGCCGGCTTGAAGCTGATCTGGCGCCGGATGCCCTCCCGGCGCTCGTGGAAATCGTTGATTTCGGCCACAATGGCTTCCTTGATCTGCTCCTTGGTGAGCACTTGTTTATCGAAGTCGAAATCGAAGGCTGGGATACAGTCGGGCTCGTCATCCGGATCGTGGTACTTCGCCAGGAAGGGGTGGTTCAGGGCCTCCACCACCGAAAGGCGCTCCCGTGGATCAAAGCGCAGCATCTTGGAAAGCAACGCCAAGGCTTTCTGGTCGGCATTCTGGTAGAGGTTCTCCCATGGCACCGGCTGGCGCGACGGCAAGCTCTGGATGTAGGCCCGAACCCGGTCGGCCCCGATGGAGTGGACCACTTTGGCGGGTGGGGTGCCCAAAACAGTGATGATGAGCTGCAGCTGGTGGATATAGTTCTTCCCCGGAAAGAGCTGTTTCCGCCCAAGCATCTCGGCAAAAATGCACCCCACCGACCACATATCGATGGCCTGGGTGTACTCGTGGAGGGAGAGCATGAGCTCGGGGGCTCGGTACCAGCGGGTGGCCACGTACTCCGTCATGAAGTATTTGTACTCGTCAGGCTTGGTGCAGAGGCCTCGGGCCATGCCAAAGTCCCCGATCTTCAGCTCACAGTTCTCGTTGATCAGGAGGTTGCTGGGCTTGAGGTCCCGGTGGATGACGTTGGCCGAGTGGATGTACTTGAGACCTCGGAGGAGCTGGTAAAGGAAGTAGCGGACGTGCTCCAAGGTGAGGGCCTGCGAGGAATGGATAATCTGGTGCAGGTCACTCTCCATCAGATCCAGGACCACATACCTGCAAGGGGGAACCAGCTGGTCTAATCACGTCAAGAAAAGAACAGGCATTGCTCAATGCTTATGGTACGCAATGAGGGACCCTGAGCCAGATATGACAGAGTCATTCTCTCTCTCTCTCTTCTTTTCTTATAAACATCATCATCATCTTAGAACTGCAGAGCTGGAAGGGACCCTATGGATCACTGAGTCCTGCCCCTATCAAGGAGGCACAGCGGGGATTCGAACTCCCAACCTCTGCCTCCACAATCAGATGCCTAAACCACTGAGCTATCTAGCTGCTTTTTCTCTGCAGGAAGGAAGTCTCGTGGCAGAAATCCCATATATTGGGGAATGTGTGTCAAAAAAGGGGTCCCCCTTTACTTAAGCCGCCCAGAGTGGTACAATATACCAGAATAAATAAATAAATAAAATTTAAAGGTATGAGAAGGAGAAGCACTTACACCGATTTGAATTCTGCATAAGGCACAGAGGGCTTCAGTATGTCCTTGATGGCAATGATGTTGTCGTGCTTGAAATGCTTAAGGATCTTCAGCTCACGCAAGGTGCGCTTGGCGTTCATCACCACGTCGAAGGCATTGGGGATTTTCTTGATCGCCACCTGCTGGCCTGGTCAGGAAACACAGATGAAAGGGGTCTATTTCTAAAGTCAAGGTTCCCCTTGGCAATTAAGTCCAGTCGTGTCCAACTCCAGGGACTGGTGCTCATCCCCATTTGTAAGCTGAAGAGCTGGTGTTTGTCCATAGAAACTTTCCGTGGTCATGTGGCTGGCATGACTAGACACGGAATGCTGTCTGTTACCTTCCCACCAAGGTGGTACCTATTCATTTGCTCGCGTGGGCATGCTCTCAGACTGTAATTTGGTGTATTAAACATTTGCTTCTTAATCTCCAACCCCAGAGTTCAGAGTGGCATTTTCCTCTCAATTTGTCCTCCTAACGGCCCTGTGAGGGAGTGTAGGATTAAACCTTACCGGTGTCAAAGTCTCCCATTCAGTTTCACACCCCCATGCATGAATTCAGTAGCTAGCCAGCTACTGATTTGATTTAAATACTGCCCCACAGTGCTGGAGCACTCAGCATACAACACTCCCCCTTCACATGCGACACTCTGAGGTAAATTAAAAGTGATGAGGCAGCTATGCTGGTTTATACATGTGTTCTTATTCATGGAGGACTTTCTTTCTAGCATCAAAATACACATTATCGCCCTAAAATTTTGGTTGCATGTTAAGAATATTCCACAGTTCTTTCTTTAGATATGAACTGTTCCACATGCAACCAATAAAGCCATTTATTCTCACCATTTCTGGCCTGTTTCTAGGCTGCTGGGAGGGAGAGGTCGGAAGAAATGAGTAAAAAAAAAATTCCACTTTTTCAGTTCAAACAAAACAACCATCAGCTTCAACAAGCCAGAATTGATAAGTCAACAACAAACCATGGCTTTTAATTTTCATTCACAAGAGGCTAACAAACCATGGTTTGTTTGCACAGACGGATTTGGAATAAGCCAGGATTCAACCAATCACAACTTGGCTTAATATGGTAGGTGATGTTTGTCTTTTTTTATGTTTGTCTTGTTTTTCTTCTGGCATTGACCTTTCCCTCCAGTCAATGCCAGAAACGAACCACACTGGAGAGGAAAAGACACTGAAAAATAGTACACAGAATGGGAAGAGAAAAGGACAGATTACCCAGGACTCCAATAGTGTGGTCCCTCGACTTACGAACGGCTCTACCTATGAACATTTCAACTTACGAACAGCTTCGCTCGCAAAATTTTGCTTCGACTTGCAAGCAGAACTTTGACGTCAGAACAGAAAAAGGCAGGGGAAAAAGGCGGGAAATTTAAACCGTTGGTGGTGAAGAGGCTGCTTCTTTGTAGCTCTTCCGCCCCAGCGTTTAGAGCAGGGAACTTTCTTATTCTTGCGGGGCAGGAGGAGGAAGGAGAGGCGGGGGCAGCTCCGGATCGCCGCCGGGCACGGGAAGCAGGTGCGCTCCCTGCCCATCCCTGGTGTGGGTCTACGCATGAGTCAGGCCCGCCAAAGGAGCGGATCTACCATCCACCGGGGAGTGCGTGCCATTGGAGGAGGCTTCAGTCTGCCTGGTAAGGTGCTTTTTGCTTTTTAGAAACTTCTGGGTGGGTTTTGCAGGGAGGGTTTTGGGTGAGTGGGGTTACGTTTCTGTGCTGCGTTGTTTGTTTTTGGTGATTTTTTAACATTTTATTTATTATTATTATTATTTGCAGCCTTCAGGGCTTGTTCTGTTTATTTTTGGTTGTTGTTGTTTTTTTAAAAGCCCCAGCACCTTCCGATGGGGCTTTCTGTGTGCTTTATTTATTTATTTTGGTTTTTTTTAAATGCTGGAACGGATTAATCCTGTTCCCATGCATTTCAATGGGAAACGGTGCTTCGACTTACGAGCATTTCGACCTACAAACACCATTCCGGAATGGATTAAGTTCATAAGTCGAGGCACCAATGTACTAAGCAGCAGCCACTGGTAGCATCAGAAACAGCATGCCTTTGAATCTCAGTTGCTAGGGAAAATGAGGTCCAGGATACTAATACACTCACATCTTGCTTACGGGCTTCCCATTGGCACCTAACTGTCCCCTTTGGAACAGAATGCAAAACTAAATAGGCCTTTGATTTGATTGATTATGGCTTCCCTGAAGTTCTGACGTTAAAATGAGGTTTCTGGACCTCTATTGCAGAAAATCTTTTTCAAGCCTGCCATTTTTATTTCTACACAGACCCGTCTGCAAATAAACTTACAAGGAACAACACCTGAGCAAGGTAGATAAGCACCTGCTAATTGACAGTGGTAACTTTTTTTTAGCTTGCATAATTTCTGCTCCCTCCCTAATATGCTGGCAAAACACACAGAAAGTCTCTGGACAAATATGAATCCTCTTCAGAGTCCTATGTACAACATTCGTGAGAGGAGGTGTCACTGGAAAATATCCCACCAATCCACGCTACTAGTCCACCCTATACAAAATAATCTACCGTATTATTAGACTATATTTTTGTCTAAAATCTTTAGACTCAAAATTGAGGGTTGTCTTATACACGGAAGTAAGCTGAGGAGAGAACAAAAACAAGTGATGGGGAAAGCAGGGATCAAAGCGATCCTGCAGCACTTTGATCCCTTTCCCCCTACACTTGCTAAGCCCCACTTAGATTTCTTAATTTTGGGTTATAAAAGTGGGGGGGGGGTATTTTATACATGGAGGCATCTTATACACAGAAAAATACTATAGTCTGCTCCTGCTCAGTCTGGACACAAAATGCAGAGGCTCTCAACTTCTATTCACCACTGTCCTGTCCTCACGCACCTGTATGTTTGCGGCGTGCCGAGCTCACCACACCATATGCACCAGTGCCGATGGTCTCAATGACCTCATATTCCTCTCCCACCTCAAAGGTGACATCAAAGGAACGGGCCTTCAGGATGGCTAGATTCTTGGCTGCCACAGTAGCCTGTTGAGACGGCTCGTGCTTGGCTTGACCTTGAGCAGCATCCTCCCCTTCATCGTCTACTGGTGGTTCTGCCATGGTCTGTAGCTTTCTGTCATAAAATGGAAACAGTGAGTGATTAAGAACTCTCTCGCATCTCTCATTCAAGCCTACCTGCCTCTATAGCTCTTCAATCTTGAAACCTGGCAGCTGGTCAGGCATCATAGCACCTTTCAGTGTCAGCACAGCCCAGAACAAGAATATGATTCATCTCCCTCTGTTTTGACTTTCAATACACAGTGAATATGGGACGTGGTGGTGCTGTGGGCTAAACTGCAGAAGCCTGTGCTGCAGGGTCAGAAGACCAGCAGCCATAAGATCGAATCCACGTGACAGAGTGAGCTCCCGTCGCTTGTCCCAGCTCCCGCCAACCTAGCGGTTCGAAAGCATGCAAATGCAAGTAGATAAATAGAGACCACCTCAGTGGGAAGGTAACAGTGTTCCGTGTCTAAGTCACACTGGCCATGTGACCATGGAAAGATTGTCTTCGAACAAAACGCTGGCTCTATGGCTTGGAAACGGGGATGAGCACCGCCCCCTAGAGTCGAACACGACTGGACAAAAATTGTCAAGGGGAACCTTTACTTTTTTACACAGTGAAAGTAATTACCTTTCTAAAGTGTATTTGGGCAGTGCTGGCTGGATAACTCAGTAGTTTAGATATCTGGCTGTGGAGCCAGAGGTTGGGGGTTCAGTTCCCCATTAGTGCCTCCAGGGAAAAAAGCCAGCCTGTGTCATTGGACAAGCTACAGTCCCTGGAAGAAGGGAATGGTAAAACACTTCCAAGTATTCTTTACCTAGAAACCCTGAAAAAGGTCACAAGTCAGAACTGACTAGACTGGTACATGATTATTACAGTGGGGTCTCTACTTAAGAACGTCCCTACTTAAGAACAATCCAACTTAAGAACAGCTCCATTTGCTAAATTTTGCTTCTACTTGAGAACAGAAATCCAAGATAAGATCAGGAAAAAAACACTTTCCTGCTCTTTTTTTAACCTTAGGTCATCTTAGGTTAAAAAAAAATTCTCCCCCTAGTGGTAGAGTACGTATTAACCAGCTTTGCATTAGTTCCTATGGGAACTAATACTTCAATGTACGAACGCACCTCTACATAACAAAAAACAGCCAGAACGGATTAATTGGTTTTCAGTCCATTCCTACGGGAAATTTTGCTTCAACTTAAGAACGTTTCAACTTAAGAACACCATTCCAAAACGGATTAAGTTCTTAAGTAGAGGTTCCACTGTATTAATTCAGCATACTTCATCTATCACAGAATCTCAGGGGGAGGGTACATGCCTTGCTCAACTTTGTATTAATTGAAACAATTTTAATCCTCATGTTTAGGGTGTGTATACATTGTGTTTCACTTGAATTCCTCTCTCAAGCAAGGGCCCCACAACACAGAAAACACAACATAAGATGAAATCTCTGTGATGTTTCCCACCTGCAGGTTCTTGGAAAGAAAAAAGGGGTAATTTCAAATAATAGTTGAATAATGTCAACACATGCTAGATATTAACTACCTGCCACTTATTTTAGGACATCCACCTGTTTTCTCTAAGAACTGATTTTACTGGACAGAGCCACCAGTTATGCAAATTATATTATGATAAACCAAAATTTGGGGGGGGGCACAGAACAATCAGTGAGCAAAACAAAGTTTTGGATAATGGACAGATAACCTACAAAGGCAACCTATTAAGCTAGAAACCCTAGAGCCCCTGATAAGGGACACATCTCACTGTGTTCTGAAGAGCCGCACGGAATAACCATCTTTATAACAGCATCAAGCAGGGTGTTGAAATAAGGCCCCTCTGTTTTACAGGGCAGCTGGAAGGAACACAGATTCTGCTGAAGATTGTTGTTGTTTAGTCATTTAGTGGTGTCCGACTCTTTGTGACCCCATGGACCAGAGCACACCAGGCCCTCCTCTCTTCCACTGCCTCCTGGAGTTGGGTCAAATTCATGTTGGTCACTTCGATGACCCTGTCCAACCATCTCATCCTCTGTCGTCCCCTTTTCCTCTTGCCTTCACGCTTTCCTAACATCAGGGTCTTTTCCAGGGAGTCTTCTCTTCTCATGAGATGGCCAAAGTATTGGAGCCTCAGCTTCAGGATCTGTCCTTCCAGTGAGCATTCGGGGTTGATTTGCAGGGTAAAACCAAAACAAACAATGGCAAGTCTAATTCTTCTTAAAAGTTTTGGGATGGAGAAGAGGGAAGACAGTGTGTGTAGGGGGAACAAAAATAAAACACCTGCCAGTTTTGGGAAACATGAGGAAGGAGAACAAGATGGAAAGCTTGACTGGGCTAAATCAGGCAGCAGTATCCAAGAAAGAAAATAGGACATGGAAAAGGAGCGACTCTCAGGCCATCAGTAAGTGAGAATATAGCCTATTTGGGGGGTAGGAGAGATCAGTCCCTCCCCAATCGGATGCGGCAAGGAGCAGAAGATAAGAAACAAGCTGGTTCTGATTTCAAGGGAAGGGAGATGTGTCCCTGGCACAGAAGAAAAGGGAATATTATGGAACACAAGAGGGAGGGAGGGCGAGTGTGGGGGCGGGGGGGGGAGGGAGAAGGAGCCTTTATGGTGTGAGGTTGGATCCTGAACCTCATCGGAGGAAGAAGAGGCAAGGAGGAAATACATCAGAGAGAAGATCTCCGGGGAGGGGGAAGAAGAGAACAGGAAGAAAACAAAGATGCTCCCCATCCATCATCTGGGAGAGACTGTATTATGGGATGGCAAGCGCTGTCTTGTCAACAATGTAAAAGAAAGGGGGGTTATTCAATTGGGGGAGGAGGAGGAAGGGGATGCAAAGCTGTACCTTTTCCCCTATACATTTTTGTTTGCCTTCCTTAATGCGAAAAGGGCGAATTAAGGAAAGGGGTTTTCTCACCTGCTAGACTGGGCGAGAAGGCACTGCAAGCGGGGCGGTTGCCTCTCTGGTCCGCTGCTCCGCCTTCTTCCTCCGCCTGCCTTACTCTCTCTACAAAGTCTCGCTCGCCTCCTTTAGAGGGTGCCCGGATGTTACGGCTTCGAATCCTCCTCGGCCAACCAGAAGGCCGGCGGGAGGAGCCAGCGCGGAGAAAAATCACGGTCGCGCGGATGGAGGAGGCGGAGCGGCAAGCCCCGCGGCTAGCGCCCGCCTTCCTTTTGCCTCGCTCGCTCCCGCGAGCCAATCGGAGGCGCGCAAGGGAAAGAGCAAGCGGACCAATGAGAAAAAAGGAAGATGGGAATGGGAGCCAATTGGGAAAGGGAGGAAATGGTGCCGCTCCTTGATCCCAATAAATGGCAGAAGAGGCATCGGGAGGCGCGGAGTTGCCAAGGCAGGAGAGGGAGGCTGGGGATGCCACCTGTTGAACTTCTGCCTGTCGCTGCAAGGCTAGAAGAAGCCCTTCCGAGAGTTGTCAGTAGAGCATGTGATTTTTCAGTTCATTCTCCCTACAGTGGGGTCTTGACTTAAGAACGGCTCGAGTTAAGAACATTTTGACTTAAGAACCACTCTCATACTGCAAGGATAGAAGAAGCCCTTCCGAGAGTTGTCAGTAGAGCACCTGATTTTTCTGTTTATTCTTCCTATTTATTTTCTATTCTATTTTTGTACTGTATTTATTGTAGCATGATTTATGCAATATTTTGTATTATTTTATTGTTCATATTATATTGGAAGCCGCCTAAGAGTGGTCTTATAGGCCAGATGGGCGGGGTATAAATCAAATAAATAAATAAGTCGCTTGTGTGCGCGTACCGTACTTGACACCGAGGATGCAGGGTAGCAGCCTTTGGAGTACCACAGCACTCTGCGCCACCCTCCCAGGAAGATTCCATGGCCCAGCTAGGATTTGAACCACGGACT